TTCTTTTTTTCCCCCCTCCCCCTGCTCTTTTCCTTCTTTCCTCCATTTTCCACTCCTTCCTTCCCCTTTCCCCTCCTTCTCTCCCCTCACTACCTTTCCCCCTCCCTCTCTTTATTTCTTTTGTCTTTTTTTTGTAAGAAATGAACAAGCAATGAAACTCTCTTACACTGTTAGCAGAATTGTAAAATGGCTCAGTGATTTTGAAAGAATAGTTTGACAGTTTCTTAAATAGTTAAACATATAGACCTAAAATTATAAAGCCCTTGGGAAAAAATCATAGGGCCAAAGTTTCATGGCATTGAATTCAGCACTGATTTCTTGGATGTGACGCCAAAGGTGCCGGCAACAAAAGAAAATTAGACAAATTGGACTTTAAAAAATTTAAAAATTTTGCGCATGAAAAAGCAACATGACAGAAAGACGACCCCCAGAATGAGTGAAAACATTCGCAAATCATAAACCTGATAAGGGGTTAATGTCCAGAACATATAGAGAACTCCTAAAACTCAACAAAGAAAAATCAAATTTTAAAATAGGCACAGAATTTGAATAGACATTTCTTTCTATTTTTTTATGCTTATTTATTTTTGAGAGAGAGACAGACAGACAGAGCTTGCACAAGCGAGGAGAGGCGGGGGGTGGGGGACAGAGGATCCGAATTGGGCTTTGTGCTGACAACGGCGGCGAGCCCGATGCAGGGCTGGAACTCATGAACCATGAGATCATTGCCTGAGCTGAAGTTGGATGCTCAACAGACTGAGCCACCCAGGAGCCCCTATAGACATTTTTCTAAAGAAGATAAGCAAATGACCAATAAGCACATAAAAAGATGCTCAATATCACTAATCATTAGGGAAATGCAAATCAAAACTACAATAAGCTACTGCCTCCCACCCGTTAGGGTGGCTAGTCTCAGAAAAATAAACAGAAAATAACAAATGTTGCTGAGGAAGTGGAGCAACCAGGAACTCTCATACACTGTTTGTGGGAACGTAAAATGGCGCGGCTGCTACAGAAAACGCATGGCGGTTCATCAGAAAATGAGAAATAAGACTTTATGATCCAGAAACTCCACTCATGGCTATCTACCCCATAGAATTGGAAGCAGGGTCTCAAAGAGATATTTGTATACACATGTACTTAGCAGCGTTATTCACAGTAGCTAAACTGTGGAAGAGCACAAGTGTCCATTAATGGTTAAGCAAGGTGGAGTGTTTATTATTTAACCTAAAATGGCAGTCTGACATAGGCTTCAATGTGGATAGATCTTAAGGACCTTATGCTAAGTGAACTAAGCCAGTCACAAAAAGCAAATTCTGTATGATTCTACTTATATGAAGTACTCAGAGTGGTCAAGATTATAGAGATAGAAGGTCAAATGGCGGTTGCCCTGCTACCGGGAAGATGAAGAGTTCTTGTTTCATGGGGACAGAGTTTCAGTTTTACAAAATTAAAGCCTTATGGGAATGGATGGTGGTGACGGAGGCGCAATATTATGAGCGTATTTAATACGACTGAACTGTACACTTAAAAATAGGTTAAATGGTCGATTTTGTTAAGATGGTGTATTTTATGACAATAAAAAAGTATACAAATACACATATGATACATACTTACATAAAAAAGTAAAAATTAAAAAATAAAAATGTTAAACTTATATCTACACCTCATTAGCCAGCCAGTCTACTCCTATATAAATGAAAGCCAGTCTACTCAGTACAAATGGAAGCTAGTAAGTCCTGGGGATCAAACTACAGCGTGGTGGGGACACCTGGGGGGCTCAGTCAGTTAAGAGTCCGACTTTGGCTCAGGTCATGACCTCACGGTGTTTGGGTTTGAGCCCCACTTTGGGCTCTGTGTTGACAACTCAGAGCCTGGAGCCTGCTTCAGATTTTGTGTCTCCCTCTCTCTCTGCCCCTGCCCCACTCATGCTCTGTTTCTCTCTCTCTCAAAAATAAATAAAACATTAAAATAAAAAGAAGAACTACAGAGTGGTGACTACAGCTAGTCATGCTGGCTTGTATATTTGAAAATGGCTAAGAGAGTAGATCTTAAACGTTCTTGTCACCAGAAGAAAAAATTTGTAACCCTGTGTGATGATGGATGTTAATTAGACTTATGGTGGTGATCATTCTATGATATATCCAAATATTGAAGAATTGTGTTGTACACCTGAAACTAATGTGCTATATGTCAATGATATCTCACTATAAATAACTGATTAATTAAGAAAGCCAGTGTGCATGCAACCACCTGCACATGAATGTCCATAATAGTTTTATTTATTTTATTTGGAGCTAATAATATATGAGCTCTCAAGCCAGAAAAAGACATGGAGGAAACCCAAATACACATTGCTAAGTGAATGAAGGCAATCTGAAAGGTTACACACTGTAGAAGTCCAACTCTATGATATTCTGGAAAAGGAAAGACTATGGAGACAGTGTAAAAAGATCCGTGGTTACCAGGGTTTAGGAGGAATAGACAGAACACAGAGGGTGGTTAGGGCAGTGAAAATACTCTATATGACACTATAATAATGGGTATGTGTTATTACACATTTGTCCAAACCCATAGAACGTATATCACCAAGAGTCAACCTTAATGGAAACTGTGGATCTTGAGTGTGGATAATAGGTCAATGTTCGTTCATTAACTGTAAAGAATGTACCGCTCTTGGGAGAAGGTTGTTAATGAGGGACCCCATGCATGTGGGGGGGGTGCGTGTGTACATGGGTACCCTCTGCACCTTCCCCTCAATTTTGTTGTGAATCTAAAAGTATTCTTAATAAATCCTGTTTAAACATCCTACACACACGCACATCTGACCTGAAGGATGGCAGATAAGGAATTTAAGGAACTCTTGTCCAAGCCCAGCAAAAAGAAATTCACAAGAAAAAAAAGAAGAAAGTGAGTCTCAGAACAGTAAACATAATGTGATCCTATTTATTAAAAGTTCAAAAGTGCAAAGTTATTACAAGTATAAAATAAAGGGAGTGATCGATGCAAGATGAGGGTTGTGGATGATTGTCATGGGGAGGGAAGAGTCATCCATCAGAAGGGACCCACACTGCACTTCATGGATAATGGCAATATTCTATGTCTTCAACTGGGTGAGAGCACAAAACTGCATATTGCATCATTGTTCTTTCAACTTTCACATCTTTATAAATATTTTTATCTACTCAATGAAAAAAAAGAAAAAGAAAACCAGAAGCATCAGCCCACTAGTGACAAGCCAGGTGCAGCTGGGAATAGGACAATCTAACTGGTGTTGGGATGGGCTGAAGACAGGGACCTGCCCCATCTCCCCGTGTGGGTTCTGGATGGTCCTGAAGGCAGAGCTCCCTCAGCAAACTGGATTTCCGTCTTCATAAGCACAAAGCAAGGCCGGAGGTTGCTTTTCTCTCCTAACTAGTTCATTGATTAAGCTTCAAGGGAGTAAAATTTCCCAGAGGCCTTTGTAGGGATTTAAGTGTGGAGAATATGATAGCTTCGCCCCACATCTATAGAGGCCATCTTGCCTCCCACACTGAGATCTTGGGAGTTGCTGCAGACCGTACAGAGGGTCTCTCTCCAATCATGACACTGTGGTAAGGGCAGTTAAGAAGAAAGAACAGCAAAGGAAGGGAAAGATCTTTGAGGTTGATTTAGAAGCCCCTTACAAACCTATCTAACCCGGAGACTCTGTTTTAGAGTGTTAGGGGTGGAGGTCCATCTAAACACATTTCAGTTTCTTAATTTTTATTAGATCTGGCCAAGAATTTTCTTCCTCTTCTAGAGCCTTCTGGGTCTTTCACATCACGTTAGCTGCAAGGTTCACTGCCTCCCTGACTCTCTCCACGCCCATATTTTCAACCCCCACTGGATTCCCTGGGGCCACCTGCACAAAGATACATGCCTCTCAGATAATGGAAAATTTATTCTAAATGCTTATTTTAGATTGAGAAATATCCGTTCTCTCACACCCATGTTGCTAATACGTCTGCTCTGCTCTGTGGTTTTTACACAGCTGAAGGGTCATGGCCCTCCCTCTGCCTTCAGGCGGGACTGCTCTCTCCCATTTCTGATGACCTGTTTCATCTCGACGTGGGGGTTACGATGGGGAGGGGTGGGGAGTGTCCCTGTGACAAGAGCCATGGGCCCTGCCATTAAGGAGGCCTTGATCAAACAGCAAATATTCAGAGGCAAGGACAACAATTCCCATAAGGCCACTTGGAGCTGAAGAGAGAAGCTATAGCCTCCCTATCGCCCTCATTCCTGAGCCTCCTTGGGTTTCTCAAGCTATCAGATGCCTCGTATCTCTAATTTCCTCGGGATCAGTGGCTCAAGCTTTGGCCCTGAGCCCTGGACTCACTGCTGTGTCCTCTAGAAGTCAATGTCCCTCCTTCCTCTCCTCTTTCCCAGGGAACTCTCTCTGCCTCATACTCAGATTTCCTCTGAGACTGAATATTCACCTTTAATCGTGCTGCAGAAACAGAGAGCAGAGACATGAGTTCAGAGAAATTTGTGTACAAATTGGTGTGGGCTTCGGATGGTTGGAGCCTACAAGGGACTAGTCTGATACCTGATTGGGTGCCATTGCTGATCTTCCCGCCCTGTCCATCTGGTCACTAGAAACCCAGGGCAGGATAGGGCAGGCCATGTGAATTCTCATCATTGCTGTGTTGCCTTCAAGCAATGTCCTGCTTCCCTATTGTTTCACTAGTGAGATGAAGGGTTAGTGCACTGACCCTTCCCCGAGTGCCATGAAGGCCAGAAGGAGATCAGGCAATTAATTAGGTGCTTTGGAAAGTCTCTGAGCTCGATGGAGGAATTCTTGACCAGTTGAGAGTGTTACCATTTCACCCATAACCCTAAGGATGTAGATGATGCTGGAGCCAGCCTACCCGAATCTGAATGATGAAAGCCAATCGCCAAGTTGAAAATAGACCCCAGATGCAAGGAGATGAGACAGTTAGATTTACTTCCTCTTTTCTAATTTGAGAGGTTCCGTGTTGAAGAAAATCAGTGCGTTAGAGGCTGCAGGAGACCTAAACACAGTCACCATGAAGCTGGGCTGTCTCTGCACGGCTGGGGCCTTCTACTTTTCGCCTACTATGCTCTGGGCAGCCCCGATGCTACTAGGTAAGTGAAATGTTTGAACATTGGTGTGGGAACGGAGATATGTCTGACTTTGGTCAAGAGAAAGAAACATGGACTGACTTTGGCCCAAAGCAGCAATGTTCAGGTGGGAAGTGAAGGAAAGATGTTAGAAAGTCTGCTGTGCTGGCTTGAATGGCTCTTTCTGAATACAAAAGTCTTCAGTCCTTTCCCATTCTAAAAGTTCCTTTGACTATGATGTTCTCTATTTAACTACCATCTCAACTCTTTTCCTTCCTTTTCTCATAAATTTTTTGAAAGAGTAGTTAGCGCTTGCTTTCTCCACTTCCTCACTTTTCACTCACTCATGCCCAGTGCTCCCAGTCTGGCTTCCACTGGAAACAGTTTTGCCCAGAGTGCAATGACTTCTCTGTAGACTGTACCACTTTCAGTTTTTTAGTTCTTCATCTGCTGGGCTTCTCTGCTGCATTGGGCAATGTTGGTCACATATTCTTTCCTGGCATTCTCTACTCACCTGGGTTCAGTGTGCCATTTTCTCCTTGTACCTGTCCACGTACCTGTCTTTGTCCTTTGGTGCCCTCTCCTCTCTTCCCCTTAAAGACTGGTGTTTTCTACCATTGCATACCTGCCTCCCTACTCCTCTCTCTTTACACAATTCCCTTAGTGAGCTCATTTATCTGTATAATTTTAATCACTACAGCTATATACTTCAGAGTCCAAAGCTCTGTCTCCACCCCTAATTATGCTTCTGAGCTTCACAGTCCGAGATCAAATTTTGCACGAAACATATCTACCTGCATGTTTCATGGGTCTCTCAGCACAATATGACCAGAGCTAAACTCATCTGACATCTTGGCTCCCACCTCTCTTAATTTCATCTTTCACTATTTCTGATCTTGATTCATGGCATCCACCCAGACACCCAGGCCAAAAACTTGGGAGACAACTTAGATGCTTCCCTCTCCATCCTCTGCATGGCATTAGTCAACAAGTTTGGCAAAATGAAACTTTTAAACCTTTTAGAGCCCAGTCCCTTCCTTGAAACAGAACTAATAGTATCCTAGGAAGAGCCCTCATCATTTCTGACTTTGGCCTTAAAAGGGATTCTGCACCAATGCATACAAGACCTACTATAGCCAGCCCCCACTTAACGTCTTCAGCCTCTGCCCTTACCTGTGAGCCCTGCAAATTATGCCATAATAACCCCCCAACCTGCTTATATTAATACACTCACACACTGGACTCTTACTTATCTCCCAACTTTTCTCATACCACTACTTCTGCCTGAAATGGCCTCTTCCCCTCACTCACAAACTTCTAGGCACCCCTAAAAGGTCAGCTTAGGTGGCATCTTCACCAGGGAATGTTCTTTGAGCCCTCCTTTCTGCCCCAGTGGCTGTCTGTCATACCTCTTTGTTATTAATTTCCTCCTCGTGCTGAAATAATCTCTTCGTATGCCTGTGCCATCCAACGAACTGAGTTAACTGCAGACAGGGACAATGCTTTTTTGGTTTTGTTTTTTAACCTTGTCATGTTTATGTTTGAATTTTTTTTTAATGTTTTATTGATTTCTGGGAGAGAGAGAGAGAGAGAGAGAGAGACAGCGTGAGCAGGAGAGGGTCAGAGAGAGAGGGAGTCACAGACTCTGAAACAGGCTCCAGGCTCTGAGCTGGCAGTCAGCACAGAGCCTGACGCGGGGCTCGAACCCACGAACAGCGAGACCATGACCTAAGCGAAAGTCGGACGCTTAACCGACTAAGCCACCCAGGCGCCCCTATGTTTGAATTTTTAACATCTGCATTTGTTGACTCATTTTATTAAACTCGAAGAATCAGGACTGGGTGACCACATGGAGATACAATGCTGGTATTGTGGCAAAGACTCCTGACACTCTGGTTTCAAGCTGTTCTTACTAGCTCTATGTCACCTTGGAAAACTCACTTTTAATACCTCCGAATTCCATTTTCTTATGCATAAAATGAGATGAATACCAACCGCAGTTTATGGAGTGAAAGTGCCTGGTAGCCCACAAGTTCATGTTCAAAAAGGAGTGGAGGTGGAGTCCAGTTGAGTGACAGCAGAGGAACTGAAAAAAGTAGCATCAGAGTGGTAAAGGGAGCTGAGGGAGGACCTAAAGAAAACACCTGGTACTGATGTCATGAGAATTAGGAAGTGGAGAGGGGCCTTGCGAGGGGAAGCTACGGGGTCAAAGAAGAGCATTGGGCCTCTGAGAGTGGAAGAGAACAAAGGCAAGTGGGTTCGGAGTGGAGAATTGAGTATATGTGAATGGCCGTGGAGTCAGAAGAAGGGGAGAGGGATTAAGGGACAAGAAGCAGTCAGGGAGATGGGGAACATGGAATTTACTTTGCCTGGGTCAGCTGTAAATTTTAACCTGAAAGTAAGGAAAGAACTGTTCTATAGTCACCAGTACAAACTGGGAGAAGAGGGTTGGGATACAGAGAAGGACATAGAAAGGGCTCTAGAGTTGCCATGGAAAGTTCAAGTCCAGACGGCATCAAGGTATAGATGGCTGCAAAATGAAGATCCAAAAGGGAGAGCAAGGAAGGAGACACAGCTAGGTACTGAAAACTATTTGATAGACAATATGTTCAAAGATGAAGAGCCAGGGGAATGTTAAGAAAATGAAAATATGGAAGGAATCCCTCCCCCCCCAAGGAAGGTCTGAAAATTGCAGTAGATCAAGTCTAAACAGTGAAGTAAAAAGAACACTGATTTTGAACTCAGATATACCTTACTTTCTTGCTCCATTCTCTACTCTCTTCTGAAATTTTGGGTAAGTTAATGAACTATTCTAAGCCTGTTTCTTGATGATTTCTAAAATTAGAGTGAAATCACATACCTAGAAATCTTGTGAAGGTCAAGTAAAATAATGTGTGAAAGTGCCCAGCAGTGTCTGACACCCAGCGAGTGTCAGAATCTGATCATCTCCCTTTCCCTTTTGTCTTGTGTCTGCCTGCTCTGGGGTCATAGCTGTCCTTGGCCTCTGGTTTCCTGCACCAGCAGCTGGATGTCATGCTGGTGAGTTCACATTCCGCCATTCTCTCCCCACCCTCTTCCCCAAACTACAGTCCATTCACTAAGAGAACCTGGAAGCCAGTGAATAAAGTCAGAAGTATGGGTCGAGACACACATATGGGTTTGGGTGTCCTTCCCTTCTCACTTTGAAAAGGATGATTCCCCCAGAGAGAAAGGAGTCCTTGTGGAGGGCAATCTTCTGTCTTCTTCCTGCAAGTCACGGCATTATTTTCTCGTTCTCAAACCATGCCCTCCCCAGCTGCCAGTTTTGATACACTGCAGTGTGAAGGACCTGTCAGCACCCGGGACAGCGGCTGCGATACTGAAGAGGACTTGACCTGCCCAAAGGAAGTTGACTTCCAGGTCAAGGGCTACACTTTCAGTAAACCCTTCCATCTGGTTGTGTCCTACGGTGAGGTCCTGGGAGGGACTGACCAGTGCAGGTCTGCTCTTTCTCCCATTTCCCAAACCTGTCCTTTCAGCCCGACAGCCCATTAGGAAGGTCTTCCCAGGAAATTGGGATCTCATGGGATGAGATATAGTAGCTCCCACTCCCTTATCCATGGGGGATATGTTCCAAAACCCCCAGTGGATGCCTCGAACTGAGGATAGTACCAAAGCCTAAACACACTATGTTTTCTCTATACATACATACCTGGGATAAAGTATAAACTAGGCCCATTAAGAGATCAATAAGAAATTAACAACAATAGCTAATAATATAGAATAGTTATAACAGCCTGCTGTGATAAAAGTTATGTAAATGTGGTTTCTCCCTCTCTCAAAATATCTTATAGTACTAATACTCACCCTTCTTGTGATGATGTGAGATGATAAAGTGCCTGTGTGCTGAGACAAGCAAGTGAATGACATGAGCATTGTGATGCAGTGTTAGGCTACTATTGACCTTCTGATGATATGTCAGAAGGATGGTCATTTGCTTCTAGATTGCAGTTGGCCTTGGAAAGTGAAAATGTGGTGAAGGGGGGACTACTGTACCTTCTTCCCCATATTCAGCCCTCAAAAGTGAGGGTTTCCTCAGTCTTCGGTCCTAGAGAAATTGTTCCACAACCCCAACCAGGGGTTGGGCCCCTGAGAAAGTTTGGGGGGGAGGGGTCTGTGTGGGCAGCACTGGGGGAACTCCCAAGGAAGGCAGTGGGTCACACTCAACTTTTGCTTTGGGCTGCAGACTGGCTGATTCTCCAAGGTCCAGTCAGCCCTATATTTGAAGGAGACCCACTAGTTCTACGCTGCCAGGCCTGGCAAAACTGGCCACTGGCCCAGATCACCTTCTACCGAGATGGCTCAGCCCTGGGACCCCCTGGACCTAATAGGGAATTCTCCATCGCCGTGGTACAACAGGCTGACAGTGGACACTATCACTGCAGTGGTGTCTTCAGAAGCCCTGGTCCTGGGAGACCAGAAACAGCATCTTCCGTGGCTATCAAGGTCCAAGGTGAGACCTGGAGGGAATATTACCATAGCAGAGGCAGGTAGGGAAACCCAGAGGAACGAATACTCTCTTTCATTAGAGGTGGCAAGATCACTAAAGGCTAAGGAACAGGTGGCTGGCAAATGTCCAAGTTGGTCTTCAGGAGGGGCATCATCTCAGTAATTGTGTTCTCAAGTCACTCAGCACTCTCCAAGTTCTGCCTGCTTCCTACAGCTCTGTCTTACAGACCTGTGCTTCCTGGTGTTCACTGATTGGATATCTGGACCAAAGTCAAATTTGCCCATCTCTGGGTCTTTTCTAATCTCATCTACTTGAAGAGAGAGAAGACTCGAAATGTTCAAATGGAGCTTTTCTAAAGAGTGCTCATTGTTGATAGAAATAGGGAGAGGAACATGTGACTGGGTTCTTTGTGTACAATAACCTTTGGTTAATGGGTTAGCACACCATTTAACAATGATCTCAGCCAGCACACATTCTACCATGTGATCCTAAACCATGTGGTATGATGTTATCTGCTGTATTCGTTCTTTGTCTGGCATGAAAGTAAGATGGTTGAGCTCTTCTTTCTCCCTTCTCTCTCTCTCCCAGAACTGTTTCCAGCCCCACTTCTCAGAGCCACCCCCTCAGCTGAGCCCCAAGAGGGGGGTCCAGTGACCCTAAGCTGTCAGACAAAGCTGCCCCTGCATAGGTCAACTGCCCGCCTCTTCTTCTCCTTCTACAAGGACAGCAGGACTGTGCGTGGCAGGGGTCTCTCCTCAGAATTCCAGATCCCCACAGCTTCAGAGGCACACTCTGGGTCCTACTGGTGTGAAGCAGCCACTGAGGACAACCAAGTTTGGAAACAGAGCTCCAAGCTGGAGATCCGGGTGCAGGGTAAGTTAGTATGTATTTGTCTGGAGTGTGTGAAAAGTGAGGGAAAGAAAGACTGGACCCATGAGCTGGCATTTGGTGTGAGCAGGTTAAGGAAGGACACAGAGGAGGAAGGAAAGATAATTCGGGGATGGAAAAGGGCACAGTTAGGGAACTTCTATCTCACACCGTGGTGCACACCTCACCAAACCAAGACATGGGCCAGCTCCACAGCTGCTGCCTTGTGCTCCCTACCTGAACTCTGGGAATTGGCAGGAATACAGTACCTAGAATGAAGATGAGGTCATGTGGAGTTTATGTTCAGTTCTGGAACCCTCAATTAAGAAGGCTGCATTTGACCTGAAATAATATACTCAGAAGAGGTAAAGGGGGTAATGAGTGAGCTTAAAGCCATATCGTAAGAAAAATAGTGGGGAAGGGTGGAAGATACTCATCTTGAAGAGGATGTGACCCAAGGGGTCAGCAGAGGTGTCCTCAAAACACTGAAGGCTGGCACAAAGATGAGGAGTTGCCCTAATGTCACATACAGTAAAGAGGTTGACCTATGACCAGTTACCGCATCCGTGCTGCAGGGAATTAGGTTCTGAGAATTGCTAATATTCATAGCCCCGTAATGATGATGCCTCATCACTGAAGACTTTCAAACTGAGGTAGCCAAGTTTCAGATTCAAATTTTGACCATGAAGGAGTCCTCAAACCTCTGTTGCCATTGGACCCCCACCCCCACCCCGCCCCTGACAACCACTTTCAGAAAACAAGAAAGATTGACCAGGAATATGAGGCTAGGGCCAGCATCAGACTTAACTCTTACATGTGCCTCCTACCCCGTAATGCAGGTCCCTCCAGCTCTACTGCACCCCCTACCTTGAATCCAGCTCGTCAGAAATCAACTGTTCCAGAATCGACTCCAACAGAGTCCCCTGCATCTCAGCCTCCACTGTCCACTCCTTCTAAGAATTCAGACTTCTCCTCTCCTCTGCGGGTGCTGGACCCCCATTTGAATCAACAGATGGGCATTCTTCTCAAGCAAATGCAGGATATGAGAGTTCTCCTTGGTCACCTGGTCATGGAGCTGAGGGACTTATCTGGCCACCTGAAGCTCGAGACCACAAAGGGCCATGCCAAATATGAGTAAACAATTCACTTGCAGTATTGCTCAATGACTCCCAATAAACTCAATTTTTTCTACCTTTCCTCTTTCTGTCCTATAACATACACATAATACCCATAAATGGCTTTACAAACTGCCCAGTGTTATGTTAGAGTAACTGGCATAGGTGAGTAGACATAAATTTGCACAAAGCGATCATTGGAGTTTAGCTAGGATTGTATATTCTCTCATAACATGACAACATAATCCTGTTCTCTCTAAGCCAGGAATTGCCTTCTGCTGCCCAGACCAGAATCTGGTGATTGACAGAAAGTCAATGAGAAGGATTTAGTCTCCATTGGAGGCAACCCCCACCCCCAACCAAGGGGATATCTGACAATGTCTGGAGACATTTTTGGTCTTCACCTTGTGGGGGGTGGTACTCCTGGCACTCTAGGGAGTAGAAGCCAAGGATGTTGCTAAACATCAGCCCGCGCTGGACAGCCCACACAATAAAGGATTATCTGGCTCAAAATGTCAGTAATGCTGAGATTGAGAAACTTCAGCCTAGTGGAAGCGAGGTGTTAGACTCTGGGGTGGGCCTTTACCTCTTTGCTGGCTCCCCCCCACCAGCATCGTTCAGCAAATATTGATTACATGCTGGTATTTTGTTGGCCTCTACCACATACCAAAGTTAGCGCTCTGTTAAGTATACTCATAGGATAGTGTCCCTGTCTGTAGAGGGTATAGCCTTTGGGATAGAGGAGCAGGAATACCCTTTCCCATCAAACAATCAAAGCAGGGTATTCAAAAATTTCCTACTGGACTCAGAAATAGGTGATCAAGCATAACATTACCAGAACAGTAATCATTGGTTTCAATATACTTGTCTCTGAAATGTTTTTCATTAACAAAATACATATGTCTATTTTGATACCATAATAATATTTTTTTTCTACATTTGGACTGCTATTGTACATGCACAGCCAATGAAAGATAGCTTGACAGATTCTACGATGACCTTTGGACAATGGGTTAGCACACCATTTAATAATGACCTTAGCCACCATGTGATTTATCCTAAATCACGTGGTACGATGCTATCTGCTCTATTCTTTCTTTGTGCCATTTACTCTGTGCAGTTTTGACCCACAATGATTTGCAAAAGGTGTGCATGTCATCTCTCCAGACATGCCACAAAGAAACAAAGGAATAGAATCAGGCTGGATATTAAAATCTGAGTTTTATCTAAAATACGAGTTTTATGGTGGTTCTTAACACCTTCAAGGCAAAGGATCAGGAGGTCTGATTGGGAATTGGTGAAAGCCCAGAACCATCTTTGCGCCGAGAGGATCAATTCACAACTATGTGAATGGGAATTGCAAGAAATGATGACCAGAGATATTTCATGACTTTGGTGGATTTGGAAACAGGGAAGTTCAATTGCTAAAGGATCATGCTGGATATAACTCCAAAGATGTTATAACTGTGTCATAACTATAACTGTGTTATAACCATCCTGCTTGGAGTTTATTTCAGCTAATGGTATCATTTTCATGAATGCATCCTGCAAGCTTTCCTGCTAAACAAGGAATTCACGCACAGATAATAAGAGCTATCAGAGATCAGGGAAGGAAGAAATGGATTCAGCTGACTGAGGTTGGTGTCACGCCTACACTCCTCATCGGTGGGTCTGTGTGCATCTCTATCATCACACTGCATTTGAATTTTTTATTATCCTATTTTTATTCACTGGAGAGTGAGCTCTTTGAGCCCTTCGCTCCTCATTGACTCTTTGCTGCCTGGTTTAATGAGGCACAGTTAAGCTCTAAAATCCTGTTGAGTTGAGTTGAGTTGAGTTGAGTTAAGTTCAGTTCAGTTCAGTTGAGTTGAGTTGAGCCAGCATAAGGAAAGATATCTTGAAGAAGATGGGAATGAGTGGCACGTCTGGCGTCAGAAAAATCTCCAGACCCTGTGCATGGGACCCCGCGAACTCGGAACTTGGAAGCCACAGGGAGAGGGTTTCCTATCATCAGGGATGAGGAAGGCAAGACAAGAGCTGAAGGGATGGGGGCGAGGGGCTTTTGTCTGCCTCCATCTGCCCTTCCAGCCGGGGGAGATTGGGAGTGGGTGGAACAGAGGAATTGTTACAGTGGGTCTGGTTTTTGGCCTGTGCAGTTTAGGATTCTGTAACCCACAGAGATCCCAGTGTGGCTACTAGATGTTGTCTTTGGAATCGACATTTGAGAGCAAACGCATCCATTATCCTGTAAAATTCAATACTTGCATTCACTATAACTCAGAATCCAATGCTTGGGTGTATATGCCCCAAATAAATTTGTGTATGTGTATCAGAAGACAGGTTTAATAACGTTCATAACAGCACTGTCTGTAAAAGCAAGATTTTGGAATCAATTCAGTTGTCCACTGACAGAAAAATGGATAAAGGGGGCAACTTTCCCATATAAGTGGAATACTGTGCAATAGTAAAATTTAATAAACCATAGTTAAAATGAAGCAACATAAAAAATATCATGAATATAACTTTGAGTGAAAAAAAAAAAAAAAAAACAAGTCCCAGAAGATACCACACCGTGTGATTCCCTTTATACAAAGCTTAAAAACATGTAAAAGAAAATAATATATTATTTAGGCCTTCACACATACGTAGGATAAACCTTTTTAAAAGGCATGAAAATGGAAACACCAAGATCAGGATAGTAGTTACCTTTGAGGGGTTGACTGGGGAGATCACGAGGAAGAAACACATAGGTAAATACAAACTACTAGTAATTTAAAAAATCTTCTCTGAGTAGGAATTTGGGTCTCCTCTAAATATATATCTCTCCCTACATCATCTTCAAATTCCTGTGTATTTTCTGCCGTTAGATTTTCTTAGAAGCAATAAGAAGCCAAGTTTACTACCTACAATGTGGAGTTGTTCTTTCCTTTATTGATCCTCAAGTAACCATACCATCCTATTAGAAACTGTTCCATGTGCCCTCAGTATTGCTGGATTTGGTGAACCTTTGTTTGTTTGTCAACCTTAAAGTCATGATTGTATATGTTTCATACATTTTCCCCAGTTTCAATCAGGTCAGACAAAATAGATCATTTTTTTTTCAATACTGAAGAAACTTCATTTAACTTAACATTTATGTATCGTGCTATTAGAAAAAACGAAGATGCTATATAGGGTGGAAGAATATAAATTTAACATGATCTCTGCTCTCAAAGAATTCACTTGGGGCACCTAGGTGGCTCAGTTGGTTAAGTGGCTGACTCTTGATTTTGGCTCAGGTCATAATCTTGCACTCCGTGTTGAGCCCCATGTAGAGCCCCACACTGGGTTTCTCTCTCTCTCTCTCTCTCTCTCTCTCTCAAAATTAATAAATAAACTTAAAAAAAAAGAGTTCTCTTGAAATTCGTAAAGTCTAAGTTGATTATACTATATGTTCCTTTATTCCTTTACACATCTGTGGGGAAAAAAACAGCAGCTTTTGCACAGCAAAGGAAACAGTATACAAAGTGAAAGGGGAACCTCTTAAGTGGGAGAAAATATTTGCAAACCAAATATCTCATAAGGCATTAACATCCAAAGTATATAAGGATCTCATACAATTAAATAGCAAAAAACCAAATAACTTGATTTTAAAAGTGGGCAAAGGACTTGAATAGACACTTCTCAAAATAAAACCTACAAATGGTCACCAGTCATCAGGGAATGAGGATCTAACCCACCTTGAGATATCACTTCACACCTGTTAGAATGACTAGTATCAAAAAGATAAGAACTGGAGTTCGTGGGTGGTTCAGTCGGTTGAACTTTTGACTCTTGATTTTGGCTCAAGTCATGATGCCAATGTCTTGGGATCAATCTGTTGGGCTCTGTGATGAGAATGGAGCCTACTTAAGATGCTCTCCTGGGGCGCCTGGATGGCTAGTTGGTTGAGCATCCAATTTTAGCTTAGGTCATAATCTCATGGTTTGTGGGTTTGAGCCCCACGACAGGCTCTGCGCTGACAGCCTGGAGCCTGCTTCAGATTCTGCGTCTCCCTCTCTCTCTACTGGTTCCCTGCTCATGCTCTGTCTCTTTCTCTCTCTCTCTCTCAAAAATAAACCAACATTTAAAAAAAAAAGTAAGGGGCACCTGTGTGGCTCAGTCGGTTGAGTGTCTGACATCAGCTCAGGTCATGATCTCATGGTTTGTGGGTTCGAGCCTCACATTGCGCTCTGTGCTGATGGCACAGAGTCTGTTTGCAATTCTCTGTCTCTCTCTCTCTCTCTCTACACCCCCTTCTCTCTCTCTCTCAAAGTGAATACATAAACATTTTTTAAAAATTAAAAAGTTCTCTCTCTTTTTCTCTTCCCCTCTCTCCTGCTGGTGCCCATGCTCTCTCTCTCTCTCTTTCTCTCTCAAAACAACAACAACGAGACAAGAAGTAACAAGTATTGATGAAGATGGAGAGGAAAGAGAGCCCTGTGCACTGATGGTGTGAATGTAAACTGGTACAGTCACTATGGAAAAAAGTGGGGTTCATCAAAAATATTAAAAATGAAGAAAATTTAAAAATTAAAAAAATTCTAATTAAAAAATAAAAAATTGATAGAACTATCTTATGAACAGGAATCGCACTTCCGGGTATATATGTAAGGGAAGTGACATCAGTATCTCAAAGAGATATCTGCACTTCCATGTTCAATGTAGCACTTTTCACAACAGCCAAAGCATGGAAACAACCTAAATGCTAAGCGTGTATTGAAAGATGAACGGATGAAGAAAATGTGAGATTTATGTGTGTGTGTCTATACACACACACACACACACACACACAGGAATAGTATCCAGCCTTAAAAAAAAAATCCTGCCATTCACAAAAACATAGATGAACTTGGAAGACTTCACCCTAAGTGAAAGAAGCCAGAGACAAAAAGACAAACATTGTATGATCTCATTATGTGTGGAATCTGAAATAGTCAAACTCAGGGAAGCAGAGAACGGAATGGTGGTTGTCGGAGGCTAGGAAAGAGAAAAAGAGAGAGGGAATGAGTGTGAGGAATTGGTTCCCGATATCATGGAGACTGAGAAGTCCCATGATCTGGCATCTATAAGATGGGGATGTAGGAAGTATAAATCAGTCCGAATCCAAAGGCCTGGAAACCAAGGGAGCTGATGGTGTAAATCCCAGTCCAAGGACCGGAGAAGAGAAGATGAGATCTCCCAGCTCAATCATAGATGCGGGGGATGGTGGGGGGAGATAGTTGGGGGGAGGCAAATTTCTCTTAACTCTGGGTTTTGTTCTAAAAGAGAACATGGGGGGATGCCTGGGTGACTCAGTCAGTTAAGCATCCGACATAGTCTCCTGGTTCCTGAGTTCAGCCCCGTTGGGGCTCTATGCTGTCATTGCAGACCCTGCTTCGAATGGGGCACTGGGGTGACCCAGTTGGATAAGCTGCCAACTCTTGATTTAGGCTCAGGCGATAATCTCACAGTTTTGTGACTTTGAGCCCCAGTTTGGGCTCCGCACGGACAATTCAGAGCCTGCTTGAGATGCTCCATCTCTCTGCCCCTCCCTTGCTCGCACTCTATCTTTCTAAAAAAATAAATAATATTTTAAAAATAAGAGAAAATAATATCTAGAACACAATACTGTTTATGTACATCAATAACATGAGATATTTCTCACGAATAAACGTATGCACAAATAGGTGCTCATGTGGAGGAGAGAAGGGTCGTGTGGATAGAGGTAAATATAATAATAAGAAGAAGAACAAGAGAGACAGAGAGCATATTTTGGAATGAGATGGACTTCTACTCAAATCCCTGTTCTAGCACTAATGATCCTTCCTCAAAGGCCCCTTGCGAGGATGAAATACAGTTAAGTGCAGTAATACGGCGTCTGCTCCAGACAGGATGCTCACCCCTCAGTGCTCCCTGAGCACGGGCTGGTGCCCTTACTGTCAGCAACGGTAGCTGTGTGGTCATCACCACTGAAAACACCTTAGTCATCAGAATTCTTATCAGAAGGTGGCATATCTTGCCCAGAAATTAGGTCACGATAAGCTCTGAAGAACTGCTCAGGTAACAGATGATAATTGCTACATATCTCTGCAGAGCAAAGGGATGAAGACTTAGAAATTCTCCGGGAGATAGTCTTGCATGAAGAAAAAGATCCAAGTTGAGAGAAAATGCAAAAAAAGAAAAGAAAAGCCTCAGTATAAAGAAATGTTGGGGGCCCCTGTCGGCTCAGTCGGTTAAGCATCCAACTCTTGATTTCTGACTCTTGATCTTGGCTCTGGTCATGATCTCACAGTTTAGTACATGAGTTCGAGCCCTGCATCGGGTTCTGCACTGACAGTGGGGAGACTGCTTGGGATTCTTTCTCTCTTCTTCTTCTCTCTCTTTCTCTGCTCCTCCCCAGCATGCTCAATCTCTCTCTCTCTCTCTCTCTTTCTCTCTCTCTCTCTTTCAAAATAAATAAACCACAACAAAAAAAGAAATGTTGGGTGGGAGATTCTTCAAGTCCAATTTTGAGCACTGTGTAATGGAGGCCCTATAGAGAAGTCTAGAGGTTTTCAGGAAGACTATACAACTCACGAATATTTGGGGTAATCAGGTTTCTTGTGGAATCTGTAAAGAGGCTGAGATCTGTGTTCTGAGTGATAAGAAGCCAAAATAGAGGCTGCTTATGTAGACCAAGGACAGCTGACAGGTGCATTACATCCTTACCATAGGGGTGGTGGCCAGTGCCGGAGTCAGACCCCGGGGTCAGGATGTGGTGAGGTCCACGGTGGCCCTGGAAGAGGAGTCAGGCAGGGTGTGGAGAAGCTTGGGGCATTGTCTAGCCAGGCCACCTCTAAAGCAGGCAGTTTTCTGTTCCCAGTATCAAATTCTTCTTTCCCTCCCTCACCCCTGAGCCCTTATCAGATACCTCCCTATTTTACAGACCCATATGACTACCTGCCTTTTATCAAAACCTGCTCTCATAGAGGCTCTAAAATGGCCATCAAACCTTAAATGGCCAATCACATTTCCCTAAGAGGCATTTGCGTTTGTAACAAAAACTGACACCTTCAGAGAAACTTGAGGGGATTCTCAGCCCGGAGCTTCAGCCATCAGCAAGCAAGAGGAGAGAGACTGTTTAAGAGAGTTGACAGCACCTGACGTTCCTTTTCCTTCCAGCCAGAGTTCCAGAAGAAGAAGGTGCCCCGGTACTACAGGTGAGGACAGGAGCCAGGCCCAAGGAGACATACAATCAGGTTGGAAAATTCATTAAGTATTTACATGAGAATTCAGGTGCCGCACTGCTCAGGGTATGATCACATGGGTTGGAAAGCTCAAGAAATAGAGCTGGGAGGTCAGATCTAAGATGCTTCTGAGGGGCTGATGTGGTGACACTCTGGCCGTGGGTAAGGAGTCCTGGGGCAGGGGAATGGCTGGAGAAGGCTTGTGGGGATGGTTAAAAAGGAGGGAGGCACAAGTGAGGGCAGATGCCATGGGGTGAGATCACTGGACTGAGTCGTAAAGGATTTTCGCATTTCTTTTTTTTTTTTTTAATGTTTTATTTATTTCTGAGAGAGAGAGAGAGAGAGAGAGCATGAGCAGGGGAGGGTCAGAGAGAGAGGGAGATACAGAATCTGAAACAGGCTCCAGGCTCTGAGCTGGCTGTCAGCACAGAGCCCAATGTGGGGCTCGAACCCATGAACTGTGAGATCATGACCTGAGCCGAAGTCGGACGCTTAACCGACTGAGCCACCCATGCACCCCACTCATTTCTGAGGGTTTAAGTTTTCCAGAAGGGAGAAAGAAGGGGAAACACACTGCATTTCTGGTGTTGTTTTTTTTTTTTAAGTTTATTTATTTTGAGAGAGAGCGAGAGAGCATGAGTGGGATAGGGGCAGGGAGAGAGGGAGAGAGAGAATCTGAAGCAGGCTTCATGCTCAGTGCAGAGCCTGACACAGGGCTTGAACTCAAAAATCGTGAGATCATGACCTAAGCCAAGATCAAGAGTTGGCTGCTTAACTATCTGAGCCACCCAGGGGCCTGGCATTTCCTTTTTTTTAAAAAAAAATTTTTATTAAAACTTGTTTTAATGTTTATTTATTTTTGAAAGAGAGACAGTGAGAGTGGCGGGGTTACAGAGAGAGAGAGGGAGACAAAAAATCCAAAACAAGCTCTAGGCTCTGAGCTGTCAGCACAGAACCCAACGTGGAGCTCAAACCCACAAACCTCGAGATCAGGACCTAAGCCGAAGTCGGATACTTGACTGACTAAGCCACCCAGGCGCTCCCCCACCCTCTGCATTTCTATTCTTAACTGGAACTTTGGAGGATAGCGACCCAGAAGGTGGTTGGTGAATCCACCCACTGTTCTGTGCGAAGCTCTGAGCTCTGGGGGCAGGGAACCCAATGTCAACCTCATGAGGCCTCGCACCAGTGTCTGTCATCAGGGAGTGAGCAGAATAAAGGCCCTGGGTAGACCCTGAGGACATGAAGTGGTATTTTCCTCAACTGAGGCTTCCAGGGCCAGCTGGAAGGTGGGGAGGGGGAGGCTGGGAGAGGGTTGTCAACAGGAGCCCGAAGGTCACCTGCTACCATCTGGTCCTATGTGGCTTCCTTGGGCCACAGAGGACACAGGTTCTGCTCAGCACGCCTTGTCTGCAGAGGCTGCCTGGGTCACCGCCGGGCTGCACTTACCCAGCCTGGCTCCTGCTGTTTCCAGTCCCCCATCTTCAGGAATTAGGAGTGGGTTCTAGAAGCAGCAAGGGCTCCCAGGACTCAGAGGGGAGCACTGGCCACCTTCTCTCCCTCCTCCCCACCCCACGCCAGGGCACCTGCGTCGTTCTGTCGCTGCTGCAAGCAGGTGCATCATGTGGGCTCTGGCAGCCCTTCTGCTCCTGGGTGAGTCCTCAGTGCGTCAACAGCGGCAGAAGCACTTTGGCTGTGGGAGAGGGTGTGTGTGTGTGTGTGTGTGTGTGTGTGTGTGTGTGTGTGTTGGAGAAGAATCCTCCATTCCAAACAACAGTCCGTTGTCTATTTCAGGAGGATGAAGAGGAAGGGGCTTTCTGGGGGCTGGGGAAACTAAAAGCAGAAGAAAATCAGGGCTTGAGACCCATGGGATATTTTCTACGGTCAAGAGGTCCCTTGCTTTCCTCTCATTTCAACATTCTTTTTCTTCTTCCTTCTTCAATTCCTGTTTCGCAGTTCCAAGCGGCGCGCAAGCTGGTAAGTCTTCCACATCCCTCTGCCCAATTTTCCACACCTGCCACACCAATCCCCCCCACAAAGGGAGCTGCTTGGGTACTCCCCACTTCCTGGCCAGTGTGGGACAGCGTCTCTTCCGGCGCCTCCTCAGTCCCTGTGACTCAGTTTGCCTCCAAGCACTGAGAAATGGGTATAGATCATGGGACTGATAGTTTGGAGCCTGTTGAGTAACGTGGGTTGGGTCCTGGAAGCGGTAGTTTTCTGATTTGCCAACCCCAGATCACATTTTGGGCACCTCGCCTTGATTCTCTTCTCCACCTTGCCCCCTCCCCCATGCCCCCCTCCCCCAGCTACTCTGGAGAAGCCAGTATTGTCTCTACACCCGCCCTGGACCACAGTCTTCAAGGGGGAGCGGGTAACCCTGCGGTGTGATGGGTACCACCCTCTGCTCTTGGAGCTCCGGCCCGTCAGCACTCTCTGGTACCTGGGCCACCTGCTTCTGCCCTCTCACAAGAAAAGCATCGAGGTGCAGACCCCAGGCGTGTATCGATGCCAGACTCGGGGAGCGCCGGTCAGTGACCCCATCCACCTCTCTGTGTCCAACGGTGAGTGTTTGAACTCGGTGAGTGTTTGAACCCGAGGGCAGGGACGGTGCGCATCTCTGCTGGCCAGGCTGGCCCTCCTGTGGGAGAGGACAACAGGCCACCCCCCTTGGGGCAGGAAATGGGGGGCGGTCTTGAGTCTCCGGAGCAAACAGGGCTCTGCGGGGCACTATGGGAGACGTGGCATGGCTTGCGTGGCCCCAAAGGTCGCCGCCCCCCTCTGCCACAATGGGAGGCAAATACACATTTGTGTTTGTTTATGAGACTAGCTCAGAAGGGCAGAGGCTCTGAGGACCTGGAATACTGGACACGGACCTTTGGGGGTGGGGTCAGCCAGGAAGAGGGCAGAGCAGAGGCGAGAAAGTGAGGGTCCTATGCAGCTGGGAGAACGGCTCCTCACTGAGCAGCACGAAAGCTTCTCTGTGCTTCTCAGCAGTAACATCATTGGATCGGCCTCTTTGGTTCTTGTGAGGATGAGAAATGAAGATGACTCGTTGTTAAGGGGGGAGAAAGCAGCAGTTGAACAAAGCATTTACAAGTTTATTGCAGACATACCCGTGTGTACATAGGGGTCAGTTCAGAACCTGACTTCCTGGGGATACTCAAAGGGTTATGAAGCAGGGAGAGAAAATAGTAATTTGTTCTTTAGGACACAGGATCAGCTACTTTGTATTCGGAATTCAAATATCATCACTTAGCATTTACATACATTTCATGTCCATGCTCTGTGGTTTGTGGCTTGGAGATTGATAATACAGATAAAATACTGGGCCGGAGAGAAGGTAATTAATTACTGCCCATGGAATAGAATAGCATAGCGGCCGTGGCTGTTGCTCCAGAATCCTTTCTCAAAGTCAAACTCCTAAAATGGCATCCAGAACATGTTAGGGCTATATGAGTGTTAGCTGTGATGATGATGATGGTGATGATGGTGATGATGATGGTGGTGATCCATAAATACAGGGTACGGTGGCAGGTATTCTCAAAGCCAAACTCCTAAAATGGCATCCAGAACATGTTAGGGCTATATGAGTGTTAGCTGTGATGATGATGATGGTGATGATGGTGATGATGATGGTGGTGATCCATAAATACAGGGTACGGTGGCAGGTATTCTCAAAGCCAAACTCCTAAAATGGCATCCAGAACATGTTAGGGCTATATGAGTGTTAGCTGTGATGATGATGGTGGTGATGATGGTGATGATGATGGTGGTGATCCATAAATACAGGGTACGGTGGCAGGTACCTAAGGCTGTGGAGTTGGGGAAGTTTTCTGGAGGAGAAAAGGTCTAAGCCCAGACCTATAGGACAAGTCGTTCTCAACTAAAACAGGTGTGTGTGTGTGTGTGTGTGTGTGTGTGTGTGTGTGTGTGTGTGTTGGGCGGTGTGGGGGAGGGGGGCTTCTTGACAGGTACAAAGGCTCAGTTCTCCCAACATACATGCTGGGTGTGGATGGACTTAGCCTGCATTAAAGGTGGCAGATGGGACAGTGAAGGAGATACTGGGCAAGGGACGATATCAAGGGACGATATCGAGATGGTGGTGCCAGAAAGGTAAGCAGGGGCCAGGTCAGGAAGGCCCCCAAGGCATCCTGAGGAGTGTAAACTTGACTCTGATGGCCGTTACTCTTTGATGAGGCTGGACCAAGTACCAGCCCTTTGCCTTCCTAATCTCTAATGAAAGGCTTGCCCTGGTCTTTCCTCCCCCTCCCCCTCCCCCTCCAATGCGTCCGGTTCTGAGGGTGCCTGACACTTAGGGAGCAGGGAGGGAGCTGGCGAGGAAGTGAAGGAGGGCCATGTGTGGGGAGGGGCGCAGGGAGGCAAGGAGGGAGGTGGAGAAGAATGGGAGACCCCCGGGGCTGGATTTCTCCTGGAATCAGGCCTGTCTGCGGGGACCGTCGCAGACTGGCTGATCCTGCAAGTGCCCTACGCCGCGGTGTTCGAGGGCGAGCCGCTGGTCATGCGCTGCCGCGGCTGGTACGACAAGATGGTGAACAAGCTTCACTACTACCACGACGGCAAGGCGGTGCGCTACTTCCACTCCAGCGCCAACTACACGGTGCCGCAGGCGCGCGCCGGCGACAGCGGCCGCTACCAGTGCTCCGGCACCATGCGCATCCCGGTGGAGAGCGCGCCCATGTTCTCCGCCAAGGTGGCCGTGACCGTGCAAGGTGGGGCGACCTGGGGCCCAGGAGGGAGGCGAACCGGCGGGGGGAGTTCTGGGACGGGAACCGGGCGGGGCAGGGAGGGCGGAGGTCCGGTGGCTGCCCGGCAGCGGATTTCTACCCCCCACCCCCCACCCCGGGCAGGCCCGCTTTCGCCTCTTCTCCGTAGAGAAGGCGCCCCCTAGGCACAGCCTGAGTGGGGCGGCTGTCACTTCCCTCCGGCTCGCTCCGGTTTCTCCGAGTGGGGATTCCATGTAGGGGGTACCTCTGTCCACTGCCCCAGCCAGAAGGCGCGGCAGTCGTAGGGGTCGCGGTGGGAGGGGGGCGCGTCCACCCCCTCTAGGCCGCGGGATCCGAATCGGGGGTCACCGGGATGTGACAGGAAGCGTCTGGCCGTGTCCCGTCCCCTTGCAAGCTTTCCCGGTCCCTCGGGGGCTTTCCTCCCTCCCTCCGCGCGCATACAGCCTCCTCCCGCCCCCTCCCTGCGGGAAGCCCGAAGGACAGAGGGGCCGCGGGGCCGCGGACATGGGGACCTCGTCCCCTGGGGCCCCTGCGCGGGCCCGCCGTGCACGCTCAGCCGCTGGATCCCCTCTCCGCAGAGCTGTTCCCGGCGCCGGTGCTGAGGGTGACTGGCCGGGCAGAGGCCCGCGGCGGGGTGGCGGTGCGCTGCGACACCCGCCTGCACCCGCAAAAGCGCGACACGCCACTGCAGTTCGCCTTCTACAAGTACAGTCGCCCCGTGCGCCGCTTCGACTGGGGCGCCGAGTACACGGTCCCCGAGGCCGAGGTCGAGGAGCTCGAGTCGTTCTGGTGCGAGGCCGCTACCGCCACGCGGAGCGTTCGGAAACGCAGCCCCTGGCTACAGCTCCCGGGGCGCGGTGAGTGACCGCACCCTCGGGGGACACCGCCCCCCTCCCGGTCACGCCCCTCCCCCTTCCCCGGCCCCGGCCGCCTCCGCGCGCTCAGTCTCCCTCTCGCCACCCCACTCTCCCAGCTCGAGGTCCTCGCCCCCCTCTTCGCTGCTCCCCTCCCTTCCGCGCTCCCCACCGCGTCCCCGCCGTCCCCTTTACCCCTCCCGTCTCTTCCTCCTCCCCACCCCATCCCCTCCGCCTTCCTCACCCCTCCCCTCTCTGCCTCCCTCCTCTCCACCTCATCCCCACCCTCGCCTTCCTCACTCCTACCCCGCTTCTCTCCATCCTATCCTCTGAGTCCTCTTCACCCCTCCTCTCCCCCCCTCCCATCTCTTCTTCCTCCCCACCCCGTCCCCTCCGCCCTTCTCACCCCTCCCCTCCCTCCTCTCCACCGCCTGCCCGTGCCTCGCTACTTCCCCTGTTCGGTCCTCTCCACTCCATCTCCTTTCTCCTTCCTCTCCACCCAGTCTGCATACCCGCCTCCCCACCCCTCCCTCCTTCCTCTTCAAGCCTCTCCACCCTCCTCACTACTACCTTCCTCCCTTCGTCTTCTCCACCCCATGCCCTCAGCCTTCCCTCCCTACACCCCTCCGGCCCGCGTGCCCCCCCTGCGCACACGCTCCGGCCGCGGGAGAGCGAGCGCAGCCGCGCGTACTGCTGTGTCGCGTCCGCAGGGCCGGCGCTGGACTCGGCGCCCACCACCGCCCCAGCCCCCCAGGCCGCAGCCGTGGCGCCGGGCGGCCAGCCGCTTTCCTTCAGAAAGCCCCCTGTGTCCCGATCGGCCCCTCCCGTCACCTCCGTCCCGAACGTCACCTCGCGGCTGCAGTACCCCGCGCGCAGCGCCCCCACGGCCGGGCCCCCGGCCTGCGCCCCGCCGACGCCCTGGGAACAATCCGCCGCCCTCAGACCCGACGTGGACCTTCTGCTCCGAGAAATGCAGCTGCTCAAAGGCCTCCTGAGCCGGGTGGTCCTGGAATTAAAGGAGCCACAGGCCTTCCCGGAGCGCGGGGGCCCCACCTCGCACGCTGCTGTGAGCCCGGGGACGCAGGGGACCGCCCCAGCGGAGAGCTGAGGGCCGGGGCGCTACTGCCCCCTCTCGGGCTTCAGTCTCCCATCTCGCCTGCTTGCCACCCGCAGAGACGTCGCCAAGCCGGCTCTGCTGGTCTCTGCTGGCCTGCGTCGGTCTGGCGATGCTTTCCAAGAAGCACCATAAAGTGTGGTGGCCGATGATTTCAGTGTCGCGCATGTCTGAGCAGTTTGTCATCACAAGGCCGTTGCTCTGAGCCTCTCCTTCCCCTCACACGACCTCCCTCCCGTTACTCTCTACTCTGGAGCTTATGTTTGGAAGTAAATTCAGTCACCCTTAGCTTTTCATGCATGCCCACCCCGTGCCTATTTCAGCACAAGCACTGTTACTTTGGTACTTAAGGTCACTGAGATAATGAGCCCTCTGAACCGTTCAGATTCAAGTTGTAATTATTCATAATGAATTTAATGTTGATTTTAGAAAGGCTTTCAGTCCCATTTCTGATGAGTTTATGCCCCAAAGTCCCAGGTTCTAATTAGTTTTAATGTTTATTTTTGAGAGAGAGACAGAATGTGAGCAGGGGAGGGGCAGGGAGAGGCAGGCCCAGAATCAGAAGCAGGCTCCAGGCTCTGAGTTGTCAGCACAGAGCCTAACTCACCAAGCATAAGATCATGACCTGAGCCGGAGTTAGATGCTTAACGGACTGAGCCACGCAGACGCCTCTATTCTATTTAGTTTAAGAGGGAAAAGGACATGTGTGGCCCCCATTCCAGGCTATAAGGGTCACAATTCTAGGAGATTCACCCAGATGCTTCCCCTGCCTATGTAGCTGGACACACTGATGGGCTCCCGTAGCGGCGTAGCAAGCAGGCCACGCTCACTGTAGCCATAACTTAAACAAGTGGTATTATTTGCATCCAGAAATTTCTTTGGAGGAAGTTTAAGACGAATCCTTAAGAATGCAAAATTCTAGTTTTTACTTTTTTTTTTTTTTTTTTTTACTTCCCTAAGAGCCACTCCAACCCTAACCTGATCAGATCCAAATGCCACCCTGAGTGGTGATTTGACTGTTGCTTGAAGGAAGAAAGCAAGAGACCATATGATCATCTCAGCAATATCTCATGAGTCCTCCATCGGTCTGCTGGAGTCATTTGTCCTCTGCAGGGCTGGTGTGACTTCTTCCCAGAAGGTCCTTGAGTGCATACCTTACGACACTGAAAGGGCACTGTTGAAGGATCGGGACTGGTAGCAACTCTACCCTCCCATCTCTTACTTCTACTAGACCTTTCCCTTTCTTTTTGAGTGATTAACCAACTTGCCTCATCATACTCTTCTTAGTATTATGCCTCACCGTATTATCACAAGGTCACTAAAATTATAAGTGCTCTCTGAAACACAATGGAAAACCAGTGAAGAAATCTGAATCTTTAAGAGGAAAAAAATTCAAGGGGAGATGTGAAAAAGAGTGAGAGTAGGGTGTGTAGGCTGTGGAAAGAAAGCCACGGAGACCCGAAAGGCGTGTTCGTAGAGCTGCAACTAATTCAGAGTGGTTGGAGAATCGTGTGTGTTTCTGTGCGGGGAGGTGAATTCGGGGGGCGAGGTGCCAGGAGTAGAACATGGAGAAGTCAAAGGGCACCAGAAGGTGAAAGTCTTGTTAAGAAGTCCTTCAGTCTGGGGCCCCTGGGTGGCTCAGTCAGTTAAGCATCCGACTTTGACTCAGGTCATGTTTTCACAGTTTGTGGGCTTGAGCCCCACATCGGGGTCTGTGCTGATGGCTCAGAGCCTGTTTCAGATTCTGTGTCTCCCTCTCTCTCTCTCTCTGTCCCTCCCCACTCATTCTCTGTCTCTCAAAAACTGGATAAATGCTAAAAAAAAAAAAAAAAAGTCCTTCAGCCTATGGGCTATTTGGGATGGGTATTTGGAAGCATTCTTTACTGAAAGCATCCATAAGCCTTATTGGAGGAAATGCCAATTTGAATATTTTTTTTAACGTTTCTTTTTGAGAGACAGAGAGAGACAGAGCATGAGTAGGAGAGGGGCAGAGAGAAGAGGAGACACAGAATCTGAAGGAGGCTCTGGGGCTCCGAGCTGTGAGCACAGAGCCCGATGCAGGGCTCAGATTCACGAACCGCAAGATCATGACCTGAGCCAAAGTCAGACACTTAACCCACTAAGCCACCCGGGCGCCCCTAGGAGATGCCAATTTAAAATTAGAAATGAAGAAACACTTAAACTGACCTCAGTGGACATGTGCTCATTTCTGAGAAGTCACGTCCAGGCCCCTAAATCCAGTACTGGGTTCTGGTTTACAAGAATCTTTGTGGCTCCGACTTCCAGCTCTCTCAAGCAGGCTCATTTCTCTTCCCAGAACTCGACTCCCAGCAGGACCTCCCTGGCTAAACCCCACTTGCCCAGACAAGGCTCCTTCCTCCTGACTGTGTTCCACTGAAGTGCCTGCCATGTCTGAATTAGATAGGAAGTGACCAGTATTCGTGGCAAGAAGCTTAGTAACCAAAGGATCTCAAGTCGGAAAACCCCCCAAAAGCCAAACAAAACAAAAACCAGTTGGTCATTGTTCAAGAGAGGGGAATAAAAGTGAAACAGCTTCTCACAAGAGAGCTAGAATGGCAGTGCCCCGTGGCTCACACTCTGTTAGCAGCCCTGACGCCCTTTTTCTTGTCTTGTCACCTGTTTTCCTTTTGCACAAGAGACCTGAGGCTGGGGAGGGGCAAGATTTAAGGGGGAGAATGGAAGTCATTCATGACTCCAATCTCTCTGAGTGTGTGTGTGTGTGTGTGTGTGTGTCACCGGGGTGGGAGGGATGGGCGGGTATGCCCTCTAGACCACTGTTTGAAACCCCCAGCTTTTTTTTTTATTGTTTTCTTTATTTCTGAGAGAGAGAGAGAGAGAGACAGCGTGAGCAGGGGAGGGTCAGAGAGAGAGGGAGACACAGAATCCAAAACAGGCTCCAGGCTCTGAGCTGGCTGTTAACACAGAGCCCGATACAGGGCTCGAACCCACGAACCATGCGATCATGACCTGAGCTGAAGTCACACACTTAACTGACTGAGCCACCCAGGCATCCCTGAACCCCCCAAGCTTTCGTAAATCATCCCCTATGATCTCCAGTAAGGCCTACACTATGAAAGAGAAGGAAATATCACACAGGCAACTTACTGGCCATGCCCCTTTGGGTCCCCCCAAAAAAAGTCTCATCCAGCTTCTCTCTGAGATTCTAAGATGCGTTTAGGGAAACAGAAGGCCAGCTAGCCCGGGCTGTGCAAGGAGAACGCAGAGCTCATTTCTGAGCAGCAAGGAGAGCAGCAAAATGCCAGAAAAGCCTGGGGAGAAAGTTACTTCTCTCTGGTTCTCTGATCAGTCCCAGGCCTCAGACTCAGGCGGCCCCAGACCCTAAACGTGCAGGGATCCATACCGGATTCCAGACAAGGACACCACACGTCTGCTATCAGAGAGCAAGGAGGATCCTGGCAAGCTGTTGCCTTCAGATCTCAGCTTTACCCACTTGCTCTGTCCTGCCTGAGTCTCAGTTTCTTATCCGGACTTAACTCTTTGAAAAGGGCAACTCTTTGGGGTCTACACTTAGGACTTTTCCCCTAAGAGACTGAAGCATATCCTCTGGGTTGAAGTCCAAACTCCCTCTTGTGGCCTCTGAGGCCCATTCACCCTGTAGAGCAGTCACACTGACTTACTCTTTCCCCAGCATGGCAGCACCTTGCCCACTTCTGTGCCTTGGCATATGCTCTCGCCTCAACCCCGACGGGGGGCTGCACAGGCCTTCTGAGCCCAAGTTTCCTTATCTGCAAAATGAGGGAAGTAAGAGCAACCTTACGGGGTGGGGGGGGAGAGGGGAGAGACACACAAACAAGAAGATTCTCTCATTACTGGAAGTTTTAAGACAGGGTATGCTAAGATGCTTAGAAGCACACAGGAGCAACACTAAGCCCAGAGTGGGGGCTCACAAATCATTTCTTGGAGAGATGACATCTGCCGGTGCCTACTGACAGAGTATTCGATTGTTTCTAAAGGTTTGCTGTTTTACGTTATGCTACAGTGAATACCCTTACCACTGTAGCTTTAGGCGTGTATTTGGGGGGGGTTGCCTTTTTTTTTTTTAATATTTTTTATTTATTTCTAGGAGAGAGAGAGAGAGACAGCGTGAGCAGGGGAGGGTCAGAGAGAGAGGGAGTCACAGACTGAAACAGGCTCCAGGCTCTGAGCTGGCAGTCAGCACAGAGCCCGACGCGGGGCTCGAACCCACGAACCGCGAGATCATGACCTAAGCGAAAGTCGGACGCTTAACCGACTAAGCCACCCAGGCGCCCCAAGGGGGGTTGCCTTTTTTAAAAAATATTTTTTTTCTTAATGTATATTTATTTTTGAGAGAGAGGGAGAACACAGTCAGGGGAGGGCCAGAGAGAGAGGGAGGCAGAGGATCCGAAGTGGAGGTCGTACTAATAGCAGATAGCCGACGCGGAGCTTGAACTCCCCAACCTAGAGATCATGGCCTGAGCCAAGGTCAGACGCTTCAGCAGACTGAGCCACCCACGCACCCCTTTATGCCTGTATTTGATTTTATCTGTGGGATGAACTCCTAGAAGTAGAATTGCTGGATTGAAGGAGACGAGTCTTGTGTATTTTCATAAATATTGTCAAGTTATCCCTCAAAGAGATCGTAGCAATTTGAACTTGACACTAGTTATTCATGAGAGAGTTTGTCTCTGCAACCCTAGTCAAGAGAGCACATCATCATACTTATATTTCTTAATTAGACCCAGAGAATCTCTTGACTCTTTATCCACTCACTGGTGAATGTTCCCAATTGGAACCTGAACCTTTTCTAATCTTGTGTCATGTAGCAGCCTAGCAGCACAGTTTCCGTGAGTCAACGCCCCTCTTTGGAACATTACCTGCCGGAGTCCAGCTCCAGCCGGTCCAGGGGTCCCTGAAGGATGGACGGTGTCGGCGAGAATGATGAGAAATCACCTGGCAGGCATCTCTCTCCTGTCGGTTTTGGTGTCTTTATTTGTAGGTCAAATGATAACATGGCATCAGAAAATGGAATTTTTACAAGGGATAATTCTTTGTGATAAGATGCTTTGGAAAGTGTACAAAACCAGGTTTTAAATTCTAGATTAAGTTGCACATAGACAGGCTAGGGGTCATTCTGTCTGGCTCACAAGAG